GTTGCTGCTGATGAACTACATGCTGATGAACTGGTACCCGCATTCCACACTCGATACCCTTTGAAACCTGGACCTTGATCACACAAAATCATTTTATTCCTTTTCCCCGTTTTTCCGCCGCGCTCCGCCGAAGTTTACTTTGTGCGTTTAGAGGGTAAACACGATGATAGTAAATTGAGTGTTTACCCCTCTCTCTTAATTGTTAATCTCATCCTTTTATCTACTATTTCACATATAATTCTTTCACACTTATACTACTTATACTAAACTAATTTACTTCTTATGCCGCCTCGCGGCCCATTCGCTTTTCGACTTCAAAATTGCGTTGAACATTTTTTTTTTATATACAAAAGGTCCAAAAAACAAAAGCATACAACGAAGGCAAGGCAACAAGAAGACTACAAGAAGTACAAGAAGAGGCTGAAGGCCGATTTCCGATGTCCGATGATACACTACTCTACCACCTCCTTTCCCTTCCCCTTCACCGATTGCGCCTCGGTCGGCGCCGTCTCCTCCTCAATTACCTCCTCCTCCTCTCCTTCTCCATCCTTCTCCGTCTCCTTCTCCTCCACTCCTCTATCTTCCTCTTCTTCCCCTTCCTCCTCACTCTCCTCTACGACCCTCCGTCGCTTCAGCGGTCGTCGCCGCTCGGTAGTTCTCCTCGACGGTCCCGCCGTCGCCGGTCCTTCTCCCATGCCCATCATCGTCACCCTAGTGTCCAGTGAGATAAGTCGGGCATGATCATCCTCCTGCCTTCTCAGTAGCTGGCGGAGGTACTGGTGGGACTTTGAGTTGGCCTCTCGCAGAGCCCGATTGTCGGCGAGAACCTGCGCCATCTGACTTTCGAGAACGGCCAGTCGTTCGCCGCTCGGACTTGCGCCTCCCTCCCTCTTGACGGTGTATGGACGACCCGAGTACGAACATCGTACTTTAGAGTCGTGGCAGGGCTTACAGATGACGCTACTCCGCTTGCCAGCCTGCTTCAGGCAAGGGATTTTCTTCGCCTTGCACCTTTCGCAAGGCTCCCGGTCTTCTTCATCATCGTCGTCCTCATCGCCATCATCGCCGTCGTCGGGGTCTTCACCAACAGGCTGGAGGAAACTACGTTAGTAGAATACTCCACGATAAGGAACAAAAAAGACTCACCTGGGCTTTGGCTTTTCCCTTGCCCTTCACCCTTGGAATCTCCACTACCGGCCTCCTCGGTGATACGGAGGTCTCCCCAGTAGAAGTCCCTCCTTGACTCCTGGCAGTGGCAGCCGCCACCAATTTCCTCCTCCGCTCGACGACCCCGTCCTCCTGCTCCTGCGCCCGATTGGCCCTATCCCGAGCATCTTGGGCAGCTTGGCGTCTCGCCGCTGCCGCCTGCGCCGCCGCTCGTTTCTTCCTCTCCGCCTCCTCTGCCGCCTTCCTTGCAGCCGCCTCCTCCGCTGCCTTCTTCTTCGCAGCCTCTGCTGCTTTCCACGCTTTGACTCTCTCGACCCTCGCCAGGGCCTCCCTGATAATCTCGTCTTCGTCCTCGTCGATGGGAGCGCCGGGACTCGGGGGATTGGCGGGGCGGGATGAGGTGCTAGCAGTTGGTTGGGTGGTAGTGGTAGTGGTAGTGCGGCTTGCCGACATGTTGGACTTAAAAAAACTCGAGGAAAAGTTAGGGCCTTAGCGGCAAAACCCTGGGCCTTTTATACGGCAAAACTGCGCACGGACCAGCGAAAATTTTCCTTCGAATTGTACTTGGTGTACGGTGAACCGAAAATTTTCACTGATGACTAACGCCATTTCCCGGTACTAACGGCTTTTGCAAATTTTCCTGCTGACTGATGGGCCAAATTCCCGATCCTGACGGCCTTTGAAATTTTTCCTTGGTGACTAACCAACTCCCGGTATTAATGGCTTTCGAGGGCTCAAGCCTAAGAGGGGGATACTGTCAAGTCCATGCCGCGGGCCTCCATTCCGCCGCTCGGTATTCCGAAGATCTGCTCTTATTGTAATCTCTTCCTATTGTTCTTTCTCGCTACACATATCCTTTCGTTCTAGTCTCTCATTATTGTCTTTTACTCTTTCATTCTAGTCTCTCCTTATTGTCTTTTACTCTACCCTGCAGGTACTACTCGTATAGCTCCTAGTAGTTAGTCTGGCGCTCCGCACCGATGCGCCGTTCCGTAGATATAAATACTGCCTATACGCTACTGTAGTTCCTCAGTTTAATTATCAACTTAGATCTCCCTTCTCAACTCAACTCTTCTCTAAGTCTTCAGGCTCAACGCCTTGGAGTACTCTCTACTATAACCCTAGGACTTAGACGTCCTCTGGTTCGCTCCTCGTCATCGGCGATACCGCCGCTCCGACCTGGCTGCTACTTAGCTCCTCCCTCTCTACTCTCGCTTTCCGGGGACTAACGGCGTAACGGCGGTGTTGTTAATAACTTCACTACTGTCCCACTCGTCTTCCGCACTTAGACACCTTGTGGCCTTGGCACGGTTCCACGGTGTACATGATCTTAACAGAAGGGAGATCTAAGTTGATAATTAAACTGAGGAACTACAGTAGCGTACAGGCAGTATTTATATCTACGGAACGGCGCATCGGTGCGGAGCGCCAGACTAACTACTAGGAGCTATACGAGTAGTACCTGCAGGGTAGAGTAAAAGACAATAAGGAGAGACTAGAACGAAAGAGTAAAAGACAATAATGAGAGATTAGAACGAAAGGATATGTGTAGCGAGAAAGAACAATAGGAAGAGATTACAATAAGGAATGGATCTTCAGAATCCCGAGCGGCGGAATGGAGGCCCGAGGCATGGACTTGACACCTCCGTAGGGGCCTGTGTGTTCCGGTTTTAATTTACTTTGATTCAAAACCCCAATTCTTGATATACCCATATCAATACCACTAAAGCACAGATCGTGCTGAATATACTGAATCCTTGAAATGATTCAAATTGATTGATTGAAGCTTTATGGAACCTTTGATAACACTACCCCTTGCTATTAAATAAATTTGATAGCAGTGAACTCACATATTGTGTATTAGATTGGTTGGTTGGAGTGCCCATTTGATTTCTTCCTTTCTCTTTCACACAAAAACAAGGCAAGCTCATTACCGGGTTCGTCAACTCCTGCCTGTTATTGTCCCAGGGACCTCCCTGTACCTCTCAGGAACCTCCCCAAGGGTCACACCTTACATTCCTGTACTACTACTAAGTCATTTTAGTCCTTGGTCATGGTTCCCATAGCTCCCTTCAAGCTCCAGCTTGCTCCTAGCACTACAATGTAAACTACTTATACCACCTCCACCTTAAGACCAATTCTGACCCAGGTCTTACAGTAGATGTTGTGGAGAGCTTCAACATTACTTAGACTTAAGGTCCCAGTACTTGTGGAACAAGTAGGGAGCTTAGGGGAGGTGTTGAAGAGGTTGGCTCGCAGAATGGTAGATGTTTGGGGAGCTTTAGAATTGGTAAAAGGAGGTTGGGTACTCACCCAGGATGCTTGAACATAGTGTAGAAGCATGTATATTGGATCATTTAGACAATCATAGAGATGAGAGATTGAGACAATGGGACTGAGAGTAGAGAAACAGAGAGTAAAGGAAAATCCATATAGGTAGCAGGTACAAAGGAACAGGGACTGGACCTGTGTTAAAGGGTGTGTGATCAAAATATACCAAGCTAGGGCTGGGGGATATTGCAAGACTACTTAAACAGGTACGGGAAGTGAACAAGAGAACATTAGGAACTCTGATAGTTGGGTTTGGCATAAGATCTCAATCTATGTGTCCATCAAATGTAGACATGTTAATGAAGGTCTTGGGCATGTTGATGGAGGTTCTGATGAGGTGTGGAGGTCCTGGCTGTGTTCTGGCGAGATAGGGGAGGGTTTACTGGGTCCTGGGGAGGTAAAGATTGTGAGACAGGAAGTGCAGGAGCAAGCAGTCAATATTAGGGTTTGGCCTGGTTGTAGTCAAGACATGACAGCAATCCAGTCATTCTCTTTCAGACATGTCAATTTACCATTGAATCAGAGCCTTTGACAAGACTGTGCCTACAGGTCAATAACCATAGAGGTTCTGAGGCCGGATATGGCCCGGGAATGGCCCGGGATAATTCCAAGGTCCAGAACTGAGTATTGGCCTGTAGTACACACTGGGAGTCGCTAATCTATTATATTTTATGTACGTGGGACATCGGTGAAGCTATTAGCAACACCCTTCACACACTGTTGATGTCCCTGGGAATATAATGGCAAGAGTGCAAGATTGGGATGAGCAGCCTAAATGGGGTTCCTGATGATCCAGGAGTCCGGAAGCAAAGGGTAAAGAAGATATTAAAGACTGGGATAAGATGGTACACTTGATTTCAAGCTTGACTACAATGTACAAAGTATTCTAGCTTATATACATCCCAAATACAGTCAGAAGACCTCAATGAAAGCTCGGAACAATAAATAAATACAATGACGGTCACAAGGTTATTATTCTGAAGTCTGGCCGGTCCAGGAAGTGTATCAGGTGAATTGCATGCATATGACAGCCTTGAGGAAGCATTAAGCAAGCACTGTGGGGATGAAACCCTAATGTTGTAGTGAATATGAAGAGATTAGGTACAAAATTCTTCATCAGAGTTTGCTGAGACTTTTCAAAATTTTCTCCATGAAACAATCATCTGCAAAACCTGTATTTTTGGCTTAGGGTCTGAAAGCAGTTGAGAGCACTTCCCAGAAGTGAAAGCACCCAGAGCATGTTGCTTTTGGTGCTTTCAACACTGGGATCTGCTGGGATCTGCTCTCAGCCCTTAGCTGAATATCTAGGTTTTGCAGATGATCATGAACATGGCAGGAAACATGGTTATTTTGAATATTCCTATTTCAGCCTAATCCTTAGCAGATTGTTCCAAAATAATCTCAGCTACAATTTTTTACAAAATTCTCAAAATTCTCAAAATTTTCAACCTATTCTTCGCAAGAAAAGTCCTTTATCCCTGCAGTGAAGCCTAAAACGGGATGGTAAGCTTGCATAAGAATGTCTCGATCCGGCCCGATAAACAGGCGCGTTGCCACGTATAATTATAATCTTTATTCTTTCTTCCATCTGCTACTCCCTGTCGTCGAATACGACGCGCCACAATGGCCAACTACAGCTACGATGAAGGCGGGAATATGGCCGCATACTTTATAATCACCTTCCTCGCCTTGATTCTCATCCCTTTAACACTTTCCATCTCTACTTCTCGTAAGCTGAACCCAGAAAAAATATAAACAATTCGAAACTGACTATGTTCTCTCATTTGAAAAATAGACAAGAAAACCTTAGATGGATGCCAATGCAGTCTCTGTGGTGAACAACGCTTGCGCATTGCCAAACGGGAAAAGGGCTCGATATTCACCCCTAGGTTTTCAGCCAAGTGGGTTTTGGTTTCGTGATCTGGCCACGGTCTTACCCTTCCTACGGCAGAACTATATTTATCATTGGTGGCTGGGCTGTCTTCGCATTCCTTTCCTACAAAGTTGCGAACGCAAAGATGGACAACAAAGTTTACGATCCTTTCGAAATTCTAGGATTATCGATTGTACGTCAGATTTATTCGTGTTATGGGTTAGTCTCATCGATTTCTAGTCAGCCACTGAGAAGGAAATCAAGTCTCACTACAAAAAACTGTCAAAGATCTAGTAAATACTCGTTACAAAGTATAGCGTTCCTTCTAACCTTCTGACAGTCACCCGGACAAAGTCAAAGCCTCGGTCAATCAAACAATCGAGGAGATTCAAAACAAATTTGTCGACCTCACAAAAGCGTACAAGTCGTAAGTTGAATCTCGTTCCGAACTAGAAGCAATCCATAATGCAGTTTTCTACAGGCTTACCGACGAAAGTATCCGAGAGAATCTACGTAAATACGGCAACCCCGATGGTCCACAGCAGACTTCTGTGGGGATTGCTTTACCCAAATGGATTGTAGAGAGTAAGAATAACGTCTGGGTTCTGGGTGTTTATGGTTTGATATTTGGTGGTGCATTGCCGACTTTGGTCGTGAGTGTTCCTCTTCTTGTGCTTTTCTTTCTCTCAAAAACGAAAATTATAGGGACGTTGGTGGTTCGGCTCTCGACAAAAAACCAAGGATGGTGTCAAAACTAGTTCTGCTGCCGCGTTCTTCAAGTCGTTGAAAGAGGACTCCACGATGGATGATGTTGTCGGAACTCTTGGCCAAGCATACAAATGGGAATTCCGATCAAAGACCAAGATGGAGGATGCTGCAGAACTCAACCGTCTAGAAAAGAATATCGCTCTGACTGCGCCAAAACAATGGGAGACGCTGCGAACAGTTATAGATGCCGGGAAAAATGCGAATCAACGCAAAGCCACGATACTGTTATACGCACATCTTCTACGGCTCAATGTGGAAAAACCGAACCTGCAGAAAGGTATGTATTGTTGGTACCGCACACAAATAGCACATTAAATTCCTTTATCATAGAACAAACCCGAATTCTCCTCCAGACGCCTGTACTCTTGAACGCCCTGTTGAATATCTCGATTTCTCGCAACTGGTTGATTCCAACTATTTATGTCATGCGATTACATGCATATCTCGCCCAGGCGCTTCTTCCGCGCGCTTCGCCTGCCAAACAGGACAGAGTTTCGCAACTTCCGGGGATTACGGGCGAGGATACCTTGAAGGCGGATGATCTAGCTGGCGTGGTTGACGAGCTTGAACGAAATGGTGATAGCAGGGCTGAAGATGTGAAGAAGGCAATAGCACGATGGGGTAGGCTTGAACTTGTAGATGCTGCATACAAAGGTGTGGCTGCTGTTATCTGACGTGTCAGTGTCTCATGTATCTTCTAGTTATCGGCGAACGCATCGTAGTTCCATCCTCCATTGTCTATCTCACGGTCAAGCTGCGACTTGTACCTCCTTCATCGAGTTCGGCCGTGATTGCGGAGAAAACCTCGAGTGTAGAGGAGGTCAAAAAGAGCATTAAGGCTAACGACCAAAAGGATGAGGAGTTTCTTATGGGTCGTAATGATGCCGAGCCCATAGAGGGTGAAGGTGCGTGGGCGCACGCTCCTTACTGGCCAGAAGTAAGACTTGCATGTACCTTCTTCTACTTGTATTAATCTTCCTTAAAGAATCGGAAACCAGGCTGGTGGCTTATCCTCGCAGATGACAAGAATTCTAGGGTGGTAGTCCCTCCGATGAAGATTACTAATGTGCCCTTTTCCAATCCTACCGCTGGCGATAGAAATTACAGGACGTACAAACTTCAGTTCCAGGCACCTCAAGCTCCCGGGATGTACACTTGGAAAATATACCTTGTTAGCGACACGTTTGTGGGCGAGGAAGTTTCTAGGAATATGACTGTCTGTGCTATCTGTTTTGATACTTTTTTTCACTGGTTGATATCCATATCTGTTCTAGCTTAAAATCGACGATGTATCTGCATTGAATGCGGACGAACAACCTTCAGAGGATGAGATATCCGATCCTGACGAGGACTCTCTTGCAGGGCAAATGACTGCAATGAGGGGCGGCAAAGTGAAGAAGGGTGCACCGCGGGACGAGGAGAGTGACGAGGAGAGTAGCACGGATGATGACCAAGAGAGTGGAGACGACAGCAGCAGCGATAGCGATTAGTGTCCATCTGTGCGAGCACTTACTGTATCATACTTACTAATGCCGGTTGCTGTTTATTTATGGGCTCGTTTCTGAGACTGGCTAGCTTCAAGGGACATACATATGTCGCTCAAAGTTGGTAGGGGATTGGGCATGACTAACGGGCGAAAAACTTCGAAGGAACAAAGCAACAACCCAAAAAACTGACACTGTTAAACTGATTAAATTGTCCCTCTATAAGGGATACTTCGATAGAGTCTGGGCACATTTTTTCACTGATCATTCCTCCTAGAGGGCTTGGTCATCAAGTTACAGTGCTTTGCGTTATTCTTGAGTCATCATGTATAAGTTTAGACAAAGTTATGAAAGGATTGGGTACCGGTGCATCTGGTTTATTGTAAACGGGTTCTGGCGGGAGGAAGTAGCGACATGACTTGTTTGTGGATATTTCGACGACTTCAGAAAGGACGCTTATATTTTGGTCTGACTCACCTCATTTGAGGCTTGAGCAGGTATCTGGTTGCCGGTGTCAGTTGCAGAGTTTGACTCCCTTGTTTAAGATTGGTTCGGACTCATGCCATTTGGGCTTGGGTGCTGGACATTCACTTAGAAACTGTAAACACACCACAGTTACTGCAGAAGAATACATTTCTGGGTAGAAAGGTATCGACGACAGATTGTTGGTGACGCTGTCGAGCTAGACAATTATGAACTAGAATTATGTGAGGGGATATCATGAAAAAAGGTGCGCCTCACTGCGAGTGATGTTAGGTAGCGGATGAGAGTTTGGGGATATAGTATGTGAAGTAGGAGAGCACACAGGCATGCCATAGTCAGGTCCATAGTGATCATAAGACCATGTTTGAACAACGGGGGCTTGATGAAGTATGTCAGATTGGGACTCTAGCGCCGACTCAGCCATCATTGGCAAAAACTCGACGATCACGAATTGGATAAGGATAGGTATGGAGATCAGATTCCTCTTCAAACGAGCGATAATTATGATTGGTCCAAGGACGATAGAGGTAAGTTCGTTTGGCTACCAGAAGCCACTGGGTCTGGGGCTCTTTCATTTCAAGTTATTCACTGCAAAATATGGAAGTTAAGTGGATATATGATCACGCAGGCGCTACTGAGATACATGCGCCCGCAAGGTTCTGTTTAGAGTTTTTATGTTCGGGATCGCATCGCACGAAATGGCTGTTCTTTATTGAAAGCGTATAAGAGGGTAAAGGGGGAAGGGAAGTAAACAAAGTTGTAGCATTAGCGCCTATAGTGCTTATCTTATCTTATCAGCACACCTCCGATGGGAAAAAACTTGGCCTTCATTTCAAGACCCTTCGCGCAACCCCGCAAGTCCAAGCAAAAGACGATACCAATATGGTCAGTAACATCCCAGAATGCTGCTCAAGGTCCATACCGACGTATATATGATGAATTTTAATGGTTAAATGGGCTGGAATGGGCTGGTTGGATAACTTAGGCTCCGGATGACCTTTTGCGACAGGCGATTTTCTATCTCAGTATCAACGCTGACTTTTCCTATTCTTTTATCAGGCCCGAGGACCCAAAAAGCATTTGAAGCGTCTCGCTGCACCTTCCTCATGGATGCTGGACAAGCTGAGCGGTACCTACGTATGCAACCTCAAAACCATCTAAACAAAATGTCTGATAACGGTGTATTTAGGCTCCCCGTCCATCTCCTGGTCCTCACAAACTTCGTGAATGTCTACCTCTCACAGTTTTTCTTCGAAACCGTCTAAAATATGCCTTGACTGGCCGTGAGGTCACCTCAATCGTCATGCAGCGCTTGATCAAAATCGACGGAAAGGTCCGAACTGATCCCACCTATCCTGCTGGTTTTATGGGTGCGTTGTCTTCGCCTCTGAAGAAACCCGTTGACTTACTCTGGTAATATTAGATGTCATATCTATTGAAAAGTCAGGAGAACATTTCCGTCTCTTATACGACGTCAAAGGTCGATTTGCCATTCACCGTATAACCCCCGAGGAGGCCACATATAAGCTCCTCAAGGTTAAGAAGGTCGCGATCGGTGCTCGCGGTGTTCCTCACGTTGTCACTCACGATGGACGTACCATCCGTTACCCCGATCCCCTCATCAAAGTTAACGATACCATCAAGTTCGACATTGAGCAGGGAAAAATCACCGATTTTGTCAAGTTCGACACTGGTAATCTTGTCATGATCACAGGCGGTCGTAACATGGGTCGTGCAGGTGTCATTGTGCACAGGGAGAAACACATCGGGGACTGGGATATCGTGCACGTCAAGGACTCGTTGGACCGAACTTTTGCTACTCGGTGAGTTTGCATGTCTTTTGCCTTTCCATGGCCGTTACTCATAATTCAACGTAGTATCTCCAACATCTTTGTCATCGGCGAGGGCAGCAAGCCATGGATATCCCTTCCTAAGGGTAAGGGTACCAAGCTTACAATTTCTGAGGAGAGAGATCTTAGGAGAAAACGAGCCGCCGAGCAGTAATTCCATCCACCACTCCGGTATCACTATCTGTTGTCTTTCTATGCATCTATGATTGTATGATGGTCAGCCCAAGTTTCGAAACATTCATGTTATCCAAGCTGTTCAAGACTGAGTCTTTTGCATACCGGTCCTGATAAAACGTGGGATACTAATCGAGTCGTGATCCCCTAAGTACTTCAAATACAGCAGTACTTAGGCAACATCATAAGTGACGACTGGGTAACGACGGATGACTATTATGTATACATAGGTGATTTTCCTGTATAGGGTATGGTTCTACATACTTATTGAACGGACAAATAGCAGAAAAAGTTGATTACATGTGGGTATATGTACACGACAAGATTGACAAGACATTCGCAATGTATACTGGACGACCGATAGTAGGGGGATATCAATATCAGAATGCTTCTGCTTCACCCCCGTAACGGGTCGGAAGTTGCTTGGCATTGACTTCGGCCAAAAGCGCCTTGCCAATAGTCGAAGCTCCGGATCCGACAACTGACATCTTCGCTAACGTAGCTGATGGCATGAGAGGTTTGAATAGCCAAAATATCCAAGTCATATACGAAGGGACGTTGACGAAGTACTTCTTGTGCTGAACGAGTCAATCATCGTCAGTGTCAACAAGTGTGAAGAGGCGAGAAGGGCATACCAAGAGTTCGGGATAATGGCTAGAGAAGATACTACTTGCTTCCGATGCAGCGTTCTTGGAGTTAGTATCGCGACTTGTCATGGAAACTCCTGCGTAGTCTAACGAGAGATTCAAAAAAAGAATTGCATTTTTCAAAGGGCATTCAGTAAGTACTTACCATGCACTTGAATCATCTGATCGGTAGTTTCGAAGTCGAGCAACTCTATGCTCTTCTCCATGAATGCCACACGCCATCTACGGTTGAATATGATTAGACTTGCGTCACAACAAACTTGATATAAGTATTCGCACCTCAAGAAACGCTGTATGTCCCCAAAAACAGCTTTAAGGTCTTGGTTACCGCCATATACATTGTATCTGGAAGAGTGAATATTAGCTAAGACTTTTGGACAAGACAGGCTGAGGATAGCTGAGGATGTTTACACGACTGGTCGCCCTGCCTTGTCCTGTCCATAAATGTGACCTAACTGTCCGAACACGTCTTGAGGAAATTCTTCCTTGCAAGCAGCTTCGACGTTGAACTGGTCCCTCCAGCGCAGCGTAGCAATGAACATAGTTTTCCCTTCGCTCACACTGAGATTTCTACAGGAAACATACATTTGAATATCAAGTACGACGTGGAGTAAACAAACTTTCTATACCTGGCTCGTAGAAATTTCATGAGAACAACACTCACTTTAGCGTCAAGAAGATTAGAGGGCTCTATAGTAACGCCCCATAACTTTACAGCAGCGGTCTTCGCGTTGTTCTTGTCGGGATAAGCAGAAGCCAACGCATCAGGAATTTCAACCTAGGTCAAGTTTGATTAAGGTGAAGAAATTTGAGCTCCTTCATAGCATCGAGGATCATGAATCTACTTACCCGGAAGGCCTTCAAAGCATCCCACTCCTTTGGTGTGAATTGGTCGGTCAAAGCAGTCTTGGGCTCAATTGGTTCGACAGCAAGACCTTCAGGAGCTGATTCTTGTATTACCCCGTACGAAGTCTCTTGAGGCTCCGAGTCCGCAGGAGCAACGGCAGTCTGCGTTGCTTCTGTTTCCGACATGGAGGTCGTGTCGAGTAATGCGGCGACTGCGCGGGTATCTTCACCCTGCCGTCTTATCTAGGCGCCCACAGATATATCTTATCAGATGCATCATTTTCGAGTGGTCGACCAGGTTAAAGCTCGCCACTTGAAGACTTCCTTCAACTCTCCCGACAAATCACGCCGAAAAACTCCTTTGTCCTGGTCCAAGTTCTGAATCTAAGCCAACAATGCTAGAGGTTTCATATAAAAGGCACACTCTCTCCAACCCAACATGCGTCTTCACCTGAAGTCCTTTTCGCTCTACTTTCCTTTCTGTATCTAATAATTTATCGCCATGTCTCAGCAACATACCTCAAAATCCGGTACTTACTTCGCAGCTAACGCACGAAGTACTATTCCGTGTACCAACGCGTTGAAATTGACGAGGAGTCCGCCACCGCCGCTACGTTTTGCTCGCCCCACTCAGTATCAGCACGACCTTGATTCGCAGCAGAATGACGGTTGTGGCAAAGAAAACCACCCATCTGCCTATCTCAAACAGGTTGAGCCCCCTCGAACTCAGATGCTTAAGGTATGTGGTCTTGCATCGTGTCGCGCTCGGCTAAATAATGTCATGTATCGTAGACGGGACCTGCCGTGCTGCAAAACTCGATAGTGAGCAACGTCCATCACGAGGACCCTGTTCCAGCCATTGAAGCAATGGTTGGCCATGTCCCAAAACACCCTACACCTCAAGATTTTGTCTCCGCATCGTCCGATGACAATGCGTGCACGCCGGTCGCACAACGGTTTACTGTACCGGTCCTCAGTTATCAGAGTACCCTTTCTAATTCACGACAAGGCTGCTCTGCATCGATTTCTGGCGCACAGAATCCTAAGACATCTTCAATTCCGTCTTCCACTCAACCGCATGTGTATAGAACCGTTCCACTTGGTGGTAGCATCGGATACGCAGCGCGCGCCACTCACACTCAAGCCAGCGCTGACGCCAATTTGGACCCTCGAAATTCTACACATATTCGTTCATTTCGTGCCTCCGAGTCTCAACTTTCAACAAGTGTCGTCCGACCAAATGCTTCTGGGGCTAATGGGACTTTTCAGGACCACGATCAATCGTATTTGCCTACTGCTTGTCCTCCACCATCGCCGGAGGTACAGTGCTTTGTGTCTCCCGAGGCCTACATACCTTTGATCACTGGAAATACCGCTTCTTCTACCATCTCTTACGCGCCTGGTATGATACCCACAAAGGGCACCCGAGTGACAAGTGTGGTTCCTCGCTCGCCTCTTTGGCGTCCTTCATCTTCTACTGCCAGCGATATTTCAGGCCGACTTCAGTACTCGTCTCACACCGGGGCACGAGGCGATGGTCATTCCAACGGTACTCCAGCTGCTGTCGAATCAGTTGCTCAATTTTCGCCCGACGAGGGCATCACTAATAACACCCTGACGCCGAAGCCACCTGCTTATCGTTATACCTTATCTACTCATCCACATCATCGTGAAGGTAGCATAACACCCACTCAGGCTTCTGTCTCTGCTCAGCAGGAGTCAAAGGAACCCTTCCCTCACTCCATATCAAATGGACTACCCCAAGGCTCATTAGTATATGGTCCTCGACGAGGTGACGCCGTTCCACAGACTCTCTCCAAACATGGTCTTAACCGGAAAATGGTTTCTCAAGTGTGGTTATCGAACGATCATAGCCACAACAGTTGTAGTCCAAAAGAGTTGACCTCACATGCGAGTCATTCCGTTGCTCATATACACCCCTCCAATGAAAGCGAGAGGATTGGATCCCGCCCTCGAGGGAGTTCTCTAAATGAGCACGCTGCTCCATTTATACCTGGCCAAGGTCTTCTTTCAACCCCTTTGCCACCTCCTTGCTTGAAAGAAAACGTGTTAGATTTGAACAGTGGATTCGAGGCCCCTGACGAGGACTTCGATAATGATCTAGAACATTTCCTCGACGCTGTCTTGAATCTGGAAAATATAGCGCAAGAGTCAATACTCCCGGAACCCATAGCTCATGAGGATATCACAACATATTATCGGTAAGTATCAGCTATCCAAACACTTTTGTTTACTTTGATATGGACTTCCTGTAAGCGGGCTTGTACGTCAAGATTTATTGCCCCTTCTGAATTCTGCCGACACCTGTCGTTCAGCTGAAGGCTGCATCAGCTGGCTCGAATTTCAGGAAAATAGCCCCGCGGCCCTCGTATGTCTTTCCAGATACCTGACGGTGTCTTTATGCAAGGCGAATAGCTACTTTCGTGGATTCGAGTCCAAACACTGCTACTACTTGCTCAATTTATTAATCGAGGGCTTGACCGATCACGAAATTCGCGAACGCTTTGGTGCTGACTTGTTTTCGGCGTCTGGGCTTGTTGTTCAAAGGCTCTTAAAATTAGTGAGCGTCGAATATCTTGTTATTGCTGGTTATTGATACCCTAGCCTCGCAGAATATTCCTCCTGGAATTACTGGGTCCAATTTATTGCTCTTCCTTCAAATTGGCCGGGTACAAAGTATCATTATTGGAATTTTGTTCAAGTCGGGCCTTGTACCCGCAATCAAACTAATGGAATTCCTTTGGTCCCTACTCGAAGACAGCCCACACCAGGCTCGTATTACCATCATTTTTGAGTTGATCACAGCAGCCGGAAAAGATATCTGTGGTTCCAGTAACGCTCGTCAAATTGGGGATTTCCTCACAGCTCTGCACAGAAAATATGTGGTGCCCCCACAAGGACGTTTGTTCCCTGATGTGTTCTTAGCACCGAAGGAACACAAGGAACCTATTTTTAATTATGTCCGATCCCTGCTTCAGGTGCGCTCTCCTAATGGCCCTCGCTTTATATGAAATTCACAGATTTTACCCTCAGAAAATCCGAATGCTAACTTCCCAGTGGAGGCTTCTTACAGAACTCAGGCCATGAAGTAAGGAATTGCCACACGAACGATAAGCACCCTCGAAATTGAGGCGAGCGTATGACATGAATGTGACATATGGATGTATGAACTAATGATGATATTTACCGCACTTGTATGTTGAAAACCTAGTTATCTGTATGCCTAGAAATGTATGATAGATAGATAGAGAGAAGTATTTTATCATCCTAAATCTGGCGCGCACCAAGCGTCTACAGCGCCTTCAAGTTGCCGGTTAAACGCCGACGTTTTGAGTGACAACAGGTTCATTCTTACCTTCCAACTCTATCTTTCCATTTTCCCTGAAAAATCCCGACATCGCAAGCTTGGACTTGCGAGTTCAGTATTTGTGGCTAACTGATACTCTATTCGACGGCATGCACAAGGCTTCCACCTCTGACCATCATGCGCTCCACGAAAGTCAAGGGTTTGATTTACCCCCTAGAAATTCCTGGCAACCTGCTTCGATTCTCCCTGTATACGGGAAAGACAGGGATAGCGACGACAAGTATATGCTGAAGAGTGTTGCTTCCTGTGCTCTTGGTGCCTATCGTCAGATAAAGCGATATATCACTCGGTCTTTGACACCACGACCAAGTACTCGACCGCTCACCAGCCTATCTCTCATCGCCGGGATCTCTTCGAACTTCATGTTCATTCTCCTCTGCAGCCTGTGGTACACAACCTCTGCGTTATCTTCTAACACCGGAAAGGCCATTCTCAACGAATTTCGCTATCCCATCACCCTCACCTTTGTACAGTTCGGCTTTGTAGCCTTTTACTGTTTGCTATTGATGTCCCCTGTCCTGCGTTTTTCCAAGCTGCGCGCACCCACGAAAGCCATTTTGAGGGATACACTTCCTATGGGATTTTTCCAGGTTGGAGGCCATGTCTTTTCCAGTATGGCTATCTCCCGTATACCAGTCAGCACGGTGCATACGATCAAGGTGCGTTTTCACGCTTTGAATGACATTGTATAATTGAACTTACACTCCATTGCAGGCATTGTCACCCCTTTTCACCGTGGCGGCTTATGCTCTTCTATTCGGCGTGAGCTACTCTGCGAAAACGTACACCTCTCTGCTGCCGCTTACTTTCGGGGTAATGCTGGCATGTTCGTCCGACTTTTCGTTATCAAACGCTGTCGGTCTACTTTGCGCTTTCGGCTCTGCCGTCGTTTTCGTCTCTTCCAACATATTCTTTAAGAAGATTATGCCCACAAACCATGGAGGCGGATTATCTCAGCCCTCTCAAAAACTGGACAAAATCAACCTACTCCTTTATTCTTCCAGCATGGCATTCATTCTTATGGTTCCGATATGGCTTTACTATGACTTGCCAGTCTTTCTATCTCCATCCGACCGTGTGTTCCACCCCTCGCATGGACATTCAAACCCGCATTCGGTGACCTACTACTTTATCATGAACGGCACGGTTCATTTCGCCCAGAACATCATCGCTTTCGTCATCCTCTCTTCTACCTCTCCAGTCACATACTCGATAGCGTCGCTTATCAAGCGTGTCGCTGTCATCTGTATAGCAATTATGTGGTTCAACCAATCAGTTCATCCTATTCAGGCGTTTGGTATATGTTTGACCTTTGCCGGTCTTTACATGTACAACAACGCCAAAAGCGATGTGGAGAAGGGTGAAAAGAAAATGATGCGGGTGGAAGCTGCGAGGGATTTGAAGCTGCCTACGACTAATGCAGATGCACGCATGATGGCTGGTACGGATAGCCCTCCAGAGTCATATGCTAACACGGCAATGACTTCAGCTACTGGTTTGGGTTCCGCCTCCATTGTCCACGGTCGACCTCGTGCGGCTTCTGCTGTCTCGCACCTCAACGCGCACAATCTGTCCGTGAAAATTACACCTCCATCTTTTAATACCAAAAGGTCACCGAAAGATCGAATAGCTTCTCCCACAGATTCATATCCATCTCCGCCGCCGTCCCTGGACTCCCCGCCATCCTCAACGGTTCCCCTCTCAGGTGCTCAAGTAGGGCTATTTGATTTACCAGAACACTCTCACCGGACGACTACTATTTCATGAATATTTATCTCTACATCTATCACCTCCCTAAGTATTCAAACATATAGACTTTTTGGTCTTATCTGCCTTCGACTTACCAGCTGGAATGGATGTGGAAGTCTACACGTCTCTACGCGTCTCTACGTTCATTCCTACATTACATTCGTTGTACAAGAGCTATACATACATATTTTAGACTTGTAGATTTGATTCCTATGATAAATGGGCTGTTCAAGAATTTCGATGATGGCCGGAATCAGCCCGGCAGCCTTATAGCTTGAACATTTTCTAGCTTTTGCTTTGACATCGATATGGCGTCCGAATCGGATGCTGTTGAACCGTTCCAGGAGGTCAGTCAGCTCAAGTTCGATTGAGCTCGGATACTGAGGCCTAGGTAAAGGAAGAAGTTTCGGGTGATAATGGAACCATGTATATATACCAATGGCTATCTTCAACGGAGAAGAAATTAGCCAGTATCCCAGTCGTTCGTGATGTATCCTCCATCCTCTTGTAGCATACTCATTTGGCCCTATCTGTATTCAGGAACAGCTCAAGGCGCAACAAGCTGACTTGGAAGCAAGCCTTCTAAAGATTGTTCTTGCCGCCGCTCCCTATCCTACGCCTGGACGCGCAACACGCAACGCGGTTGCAAGATGCTTGATTAGAATCTACAGCCGCGGAGAAACCAGGCGATTATTCGACACTCTACAAAGTTTGATGAAAGTCGCAACTGATTTCAAGTCTGTGGACAGAGATATCTACAAGACGTGAGCATGTACCATTCACGATGATATTCGACATTCAGTCTTGCTATTAGTGCAGCCTTATCATGTGTTGGAGATCTTATGGCTGTTTATGGAGCACAGGTGCGCTTGACGGAAGTGCGTGCTGTATTGTGGGCTGATGTTCTTCCAGTACATGTCATTCATGGCCGAAATCACGGTTGTAACCTTGAAAACTTCCAAGTCGTCTAGCGTAAATCTACTCATTTCCCAAGTGAAACCCATATATTCACACCCTCGATTTTGTAGACTGCTCTCCTCCGCTATCATGCTCTATTGGCCCTCAAGAAATCATTGGACACCGCAAAACGGGCTGTTACAGACTCTGCGTTCAAGGATATACTAAAGCAAATGAAATCTTTCCTCAACGACAAATGTTCGCCTGTCAACCGTGCAGCCGCAGAGGTAAATTTTGCGACATATATGTATACCTACTCACACCAAAGATGATCCAGGTTTTGATCTCCCTATTCTCCGGGTCGGATGATGGTCGGAATCTGATCCTTGGGGATGTCGATTCCATCCTGGGACTGGCAGTGAAGAGTATGGAGGGTGCAGATCAAGTCACTCGACAATCCCTTTCTCGCCTTGTAGGCCACGTACTGGGTTCGACCCAGATAGAGCGTGCAGTTTCAGTCCCTGAAATCCCTCACAAGAATAAGAAGGATATGGATGCGAATGACGAGCGTGCTAGTTCGCCTATCCAAGCAGCCGCTGAAGTTACAAAATCGATGCTGACCCCAACAGAGATGCTGAGTCATCTTTCTTCCCATTTCAACAAACCCAACACCACCCGCAAACTACGAATTGGCTTGTTTGACTGTTATGTCGCGCTTTTCAATAATTTAGGAGCGGTTTTTGTGGAAAATAACTATGCCCTCATCGTTTCTCATTTTTTGACCGAGATCGTATCGAACCCACGGAACAACACAACGCGTTATGAAGTATTGCTCATACGCACCCTAGTGGGAATTGTTCTTCGAGATCTCATCGGTGTGAGAATGTTGAGCGAGCAGGGACAAATCGGAGCAATTCGAGAGCTGTCCACATCTTATATCAAGCGGTGGCCTGCGATGATGCCTGGGCAAACTTCTCCAACATCCTCCGTCTTGGTCGTGGTCCTGAGGGAGGTCGCAGGTTTGCTGCAGCAACTTGGGAACGCGCCTCCTCCAGTCCAAGATGCTCTCGCCGAACCATTGATCACACTTTTGGCCCATTCAAGCCACACGACTCGCGTGACCGCGTCCTGGGCTCTCCGTTGCTTCTGTTACTCCACGCCTCTTCGTTTACCAAAAACGATAATCACGGTTATCGAGATGCTACAGCGGGATCTTACTTCTATCCTTTCACCTGCCGCCCCTTCCGATATTGACTCCAGAACATTGGGCCATGCATATGGTTTGGCTGCTCTAGTCTCTATCATCCGCGAACGACCGTTGTATGTTTCATATGATGTCAGTGCGAAAGTCCTGGACATGTCGATTCAACTTCTCAAACGAGCTGGCGAACATGACGTCAAGATTGCCAGTGTGGAGGTCGAGGTCTCTTGGATACTTATTGCGTCCTTAATGTCGCTTGGCCCGAACTTTGTACGGCCACATCTTCCACAACTTCTCGTCCTTTGGCGCAATGCGCTTCCGAAACCCACGACCAAGGATTCCGCCAACAACGCTGGAAGGACGTTGAGCGAATGGATGTTCCTCCTTCAAGTGAGGGAGAGTGCATTAGGTGCTATTCATTGTTTTCTGCAACACAACACAACGCTTGTCAATCTTGATGTTGGGCGACGCATTGCTTCTGTTCTCGGAAATTCATTGTCGTTCGCGAACAATTTCATCACTCTGAACATCGAAGAACCACTTGAACCCCCACTGCCTAGTACATTCAAGAAAGGTCTTTCTTTAAAGGGCAGAGAAGCTTTACTTCGAAGAAGAGTGTATCAATGCTTCTCTATTTTAGGATTTTCTGGCATTACTGATTCCACTCAGTCAACGCTACTTCAATCGGTTGTCAGTCTATTTGCCAGTCCGGAGGGCTACTCTGGGTCCACAGTCCAAGCCGCTATCGCTTCCTCGTCTGGAAGTTTTACAAGCGTGTGGCAGAGTGTCGATGGCTATGCCTATGGAGTAACCTTCACTGAGGTTGCGGATGATAGTGTAGTCGCTAATGATGCTGCCGTGAACGGAGGTGACAAGCTCAATCGAGATACAGTTGAACTTGCGATTGATAAACTGGTATGTGGCGTGCTTTAAATCTTACATCATTCTCTTATTCGGTGCATAGCTGCGGAAGCCGGTCCTTGCTGGGTGCGAACATGATCCTCTCAGTTTATGTCAGATCGATGTATCAAAGACTGAGTATCGAATGGTCGAATCTCCTCCTCCGGCCACTTCTGTTGTGGACTCTGCGATTAATCTTTTCGCTGATTTGCTTCCTTTACAAGACTTGTCGTCCATCATTCGGACAATAACGCATTTACTCGACTCCGTCCGGTCCTCAAAATTGGAGAAAAACGTTGGTCGAAAGGCTGCAGTACTCATTAACGCCGCCATAGCTCTCGTGCTGACCTTGCGGTCTGCGACTACGTCACATTATCGTGAAAGTCGCGACACATTTGGTAGCTCGCAAGTTACAAACCTTGTATCTTTATTCCTGAAGGTTTATACAGTTTTCTCAAGTTTCTAGTTTCGTTTCCCATGTATCTGACTCCTTCCAAATAGGAAACTTTGGTCGATGGTGATCACGTCCTACGGTCGGCAAGTAGCGAATCGATCGGGCGTTTGGCCAGTCTTGCTGGTACCAATTTTCTCACCAGCCAGATGAAATCACTCTATGAAGAAGTTGTAAACAACCGTGACCCGTATGCTCGTTCTGGCTGTGCTCTTGCATTTGGAGCTGTATATGACCATGTAGGGGGACTTGCAGCAGGCGCAGTGCTTAAGACCACTGTCGGTGTTCTCATGTCATTAAGCAACGACCCACATCCCGTTGTGCACTTCTTCGCTCTGAATGCTCTGGCACGTGTTATTAACGCTGCTAGTTTGGCATATTCTCCTTACGTGTCAAAAACCCTTGGTATGTTGCTCCAAGTATACTCAAGCGAGTCGCATGAACCGGAGGGTGGGACTTTGTCCAACGCCAACCTTAGCGGCGACTATCCTGCTTATCCTGTGGTCTGCCAGATAATCGACGCTGTGATTACCGTCCTTGGCCCTGACATACAGGACTCCGTAAAGACAAGAGCGCTACTCTTGGACCTCGTTCATGGCTTCTTCTTGGAGGACGATCAAGGTGTCCTAGTCGAAGCAATCAAATGCCAACAACATTTCCTAATGTTTGCTCCAGAGTATGTCAACATACCGACCCTCGTCAACAGCTTCCGAGGGCATCTTTCGTCTTCTCGACGACCATTGAAGGTTGCATCAATCAATGCCTTTTACCAGCTGGTGCAAAAGGACGCGCTGGTGATGTCTAAATTGGGCGGGGATCGTTTAGTTGAAGATCTTTTTGGTATGCTCGATGATGATTCTTCCGTTGACGGGGTGCGAAACGTTATTACAAGCTGGCTTGAGCAGACCGTCGTCTACAACCCCTCTGCTTGGATCGATTTGTGCCAGCGAATTATGTCGCGAACCACTGCTTCTCAACAAGTTACCGATGCAGCTAACGCAAGAGACGATGAAGGAGAGTCATTGAACCTTGGGAATCAAGAAGATGGAGGCCGAAGCCGCCAGACTTCTCGATGGCGGACCCAATTGTTTGCTTTACAGTGTTTGCACCATATATGTACGGTCGTGTCAAAAAGTGGTAGAAGAGAACATTTGGATATCATTTTTGCCAAGAGTAGGGATATCACAACATCCGGCTTATTGGTTACACGCGTGCCAGACCTCATCAAGATGGCATTCACGGCATCCACTGCGTACGTTACAGAAATTCGCCTTGAAGGTCTGATTGTGCTTCGGGACGTGATACAGGTATGCTCTGTTTAGATATGTCATAGAATAATGCTAATGCTATATTGATTGGTCAGATCTTTGCGAAATCGCCAGACCCAGCTTTTGAAGATGCCCTCTTACTAGAGCAACATCAGGCACCAATAACCGCTGCTCTTACGCCCGCTTTTTCTACGGATTCAACCCCTGAAATTTTGGCATCAGCAGTGCATGCGTGTGCAACATTTGTTGGATGCGGAGTTGTCAAGGATGTATCCAGGATGGGTCGTATCTTGAAACTACTGACCGTGGCTCTGGAACAATCGAAAGGTGTGTGACAATTCTCTTCAGAGGTTTTATTGCTTACAAGCAGCTCCAGATTCAGGCATGGTGTCGCTGGGTGAAACAGGCGAGTTGAGTCCTAACGGTTCTGCCATGCTGCGGATATCCGCCCTTTCCGCTTGGGCACAGTTGGAGGTGGCTAGCTATCAGCAGGCCTACCTCCTTGACGTCGTCAAACCATATCGACCAATATTGGCAACTATGTGGATAGCAGCGTTGCGCGATTACGCCAGCATCCGCGTTGATTCTGAATTTCTTCAGGACACTTCATCTGCTGCGTTGGACTCAACGTACTCAAGCCTTGGTAAAGAGGTGTTGCTCCCGGTATGTTGTTCGGTATTTTGCATTTTGAATGTGTGTCTAACCCTCCTTAGTACTACATTGATGCGTGGTCAATCATCTTACAGGCAGTAGCATCGTCGATGCAAGTGAAAGATCCGTACATCATCGCTGCAATGGATGGACGTGAGCAAGTGACTCCTGCTACTTCCGACAATTTGGGGGGTCCACGAGAGGAGCCTACCACATTTTTCTACACCGTTTTCGGCTTGGTGTATGAGGAACTAGCAGAGGCTTCAACGGACTCATTGGCAAACTCCGCTACGCATCAAGCATCTGTTATTGCTTCGCTTCAAGCTCTAAAATCTCTTATTCGACCAGAATACGCTGGCAAGGCCATTCTGGACCCCACTATATTCGATGAGTTCATTAGCGTATGCTATCGACTAGCAATGACGGAGTCTGCACTTGTTCAAATACATTTGATTGAAGTGTTAACTGTGTTCGCAGCCAGCCAAGGGTCGAGGTAATTTTTCTTCACGTTATGCCTCTAGAATCAATAAACAGCATCTTCTCGTGTCAGGACCTCGGAGAACATGTCGGCTAGCTCTCCTCAGTCTCATTGTTTGAGGATTTGCGCCCATATTTTGCGTCACTCGACTTCGCATTCCAGTGGTCCTATTATTCGTGAGCTCGTTTGGATATTTCTGTTTTCGTGTGCTTAGAGTTTATCAGAAGGGGATGTCGCTGATCGCGTTAAAATGATCCTTGCAGCATTCTCGGCTTTCGCCACGGTAGCGGCTGGTACCTCAACCGCTTTCCGAGAAGACGTTCGGTCGGTCGGTATTCTCCTTTATAGTGGTACAATCCTACGCTATCTGCTTTTCCCATCTTGTTCTCATTTTTTGAGTTGTAGAAATTTTGAAGGATGAGTCAAACGAAATCGATCTAGCCGGACCTACCTTCCCTTCACTCAAAGTGCTCTTGGACCTTCCCCTTGCTTCCAACTCGGACGCCCAGCAAAGATATCAAAGATTGATCCATGGACTCTTGTCTGCATGCCTGCTGAATATTGACGAGATGAGGTATGTTGTAAAATCGTTTGAACGAGACAGCAACGAATTAACTTGCTTGCAGAGGTCGTCAAGGTGCTGCATGCACAAAGAAAGTGAAAAACAATTTATTGGCTGCAGTATTAGTGTTAACTGCCATCTCGTCAACGATTAAAGTTGGTCAGGCTGTGGTGGAACATTGCTGCTTCTTAATTTCCCAAAAACTTCTTGAGACGCACGAGGTATTTACATCTTTGCCGCAATATACACTTTGTTAACTTTTCGCTGTGTTATCAGGTATCCTTGACTGCTGCGCATTGCGCAAGAACTTTGATAGCGGCTTCAGCATCAGGGAATGTTCTGCTCCGCTGTTGTGTAAAATTACTCATGCCTGCGTTGATCGAGTATATTGCCAAGATGGTGCCACTCGTGAACGATGGGTCAATTTCAGAAAATCACGCAACAGCCATCAGTGAAGTATGGAAAGCTTTTGCAATATTCTTCGGGTCATTGACTGAGGGAGCACGTAAGTTCACGGTGAATTTCAAGGTACCTGCAATCCATAATGTCTTTCTCACAGGGACGCGGTTGTTGGGCGTCTTCTTGCCAACAATTAGTCTTCTCCTCGCCAACTCCCAAAATTCCCCTTCCCCTGTTGTCGCGCAAAGCATCAAACAATTGCTATCCTATGCCACGATTTCGCCTGTCGCATTCAAAGAGGCGGCCTCTAAGCTAGATGCCCCTACCCGGGAGCTCCTGGAAATTTCTGTTCGAAGGGCTGTGGGAGGCCCGCAAATAACCTTGGCGCAGAACACTGTGAAACCGCAGATTTCTTTGCGTTCGTTCTAGGCGCGATGGGGCGTATATTCTACACCCGAGTGTAACATTATATTTTTTATTTCTGCATGAAATGGATGGAAATGCAATGCATCTTAAATCATCGTAACAATATTCGGGTTCAGATACAATAGATGTAAAAGCCACTATTCAGAAAATGACCACTCTTTCACTTCGTTGGGATAAGATGGCCAACACTTTGGAGTTAGTATTCATAAGATCGCCTCCGGTGGTTACCACAAGATCCATATTCCGAGCTTCAACTTTTCTAAATTTACGGGAGCCATGCATAGAGCAGTTTCTTTGTTGATTTTTCCATCTGAATCCAGAGCAGCCTGTGTTTACTGTCAGGATACCATGTCGAATGAACATACCCGGGCAGCATGCAATGATAAGTTTCCAATTTCCGGGCGGGACAAATTTCGCCGGAAAACCCACGGGTAATATCCCAACAGTGACGTTGTAGTGTAGGAGGCTGCCAATCGTTCTATCTTTTGAAAGAGGTGGACCAGGTAATCTATAGAAGTTAGGTAAAGGTTGTTTTCTAGATGATGGTGGGACAGCCTCACTTTCGACGAATCTCCCAAGAATCAGGGATGGGATGCACAGGACCAACGACAACTCCTACGCCGGGTTCTGCCAACTCTTTGGCAAGCAAATGTGATTCTGTAGCACCAAAAATGGTCAAATGAATCTTATTTTCGTTAACAGCTTCGAGTTCCTGTTTCAATGAGATCAAAGTCACACCAGAAGGAGAAAAAATTCCGCTCGACGGAATTATCAAAATTTAGTGCAACTGATATATCATGTGACCGGCGATATACCCAATATAGCTTATCCGCGGTCACATGATATATCAGTTACGCTGAATTGTTACGATTCCATCGAGCGGAATTTTTTCTCTTTCTGGTGTGAGTTGTAATTGCGTCTGCACTTCCAACTTCTCTCTGAGTATAGACGGTAAAGTCACGCCCGGATGACAGGCCCGGGAAAATTTGATCGGATTTGGACGATGCACTTTTGGCCGAGATCTGCATCGTCCCTTTCAATAACCATCACGTTACTCTTTATTTCGTTTTCACCATGAATTGGCCGTTTGCTTGGCCGTCGTTTCGCCTGTCCCTCTCAATCTATTTACCTCCGTTCACACTAACACTCGGCGTCGTCCCTTACAGCTCGATTGACAATGGCGCTGCTGCCGCCGGCTATCTCTCTGTCCCGCTCCTCATCTCTGCTCTCGACGACCTCGACCCCGAATCGCTTGCTCTTTTTTACGGTGTCGTGAACGCTCAGGCCGTCGCACTCTCACTACTCACAGTTAGAACACAGCAAATCATTGATGCGATGGATGTTGACAAGCTCGGCAATTTGGGCGAGGCTCCGACTATCGAAAATGAAGATGAAGAACTCGAAGTTGTCTATCCGGCAGACCCTCAACCCGCTGACACGCTTGTGCTTCCAGGAAAGCATGAAAATGGGATATACTATGCTATATATACAAATATGTTCGTACCCTCTCTCCTTAATCTTTGAAACTTCCAGCTTACTTGCCTTTGCCCTTCCTCCAGCAACCAGTTGACAGGTCCAGGACTGAAAGAACTCTGCAAGCAGTATTGTCTTTCAACCACAGGCAACAAGAAAGTTTTAAAGGAGAGGATAGCAGGGTTCAGCCAGGATAAGAGCCGTTGGCAACAGTAGGTTTTTGATAACTGTTCACTCTTCCTACAGCTGATCACATCTCCGTTCCAGCCTCCTTCCCAATGCTCGACGTGCTCATCGTGGTGTTCGTGACGGCGGTATCACAAAGAACAGGCCTCAGACAAACGCAAGCCCCGCGAAAGTCAAGAAGCTCAAGCCCTCGGTGCTGCGACGAAATGAGTTGATGGGTCTCCCTTTGCACACTCCGCTTGGTGCCCAGCTCTTTGCCTCGGAACGCTCGAAGGATATGCGAACTCTAGAGGAGAAGAACTCGCTTCTGCGCTTGGTATGTTATCTGTTTGTTCTTCGTAGATCTAAGCTTATGCAGTTGTCAGGCAAAGGAGTTCGATGACGCTCATCCCTACATCCCCTGTGAGGAGCTTGCCCGCAGAAAGAAAGCTAGAGAGGAGGAACAGGCTAAAGAGAAAGCGGATAGCAAGGTGTGTATCATGGACTTTTTTCTCATTCTGCTGCTGATGTCATTCATTCAGGTAGCGGTAGCAGAGAACTTGCGTTCAATGACCGAGCAAATTGCTACCCTTACGGCTACCATCCAGATACTCAGCGGATTTTCATTACCTCTCAAACCCCCATACTCAGCGCTTGCAACGCTGGCTCCGTTCCCAGTATCCTCATCAAGAAGTGATTCGTTCAATTTCCTCCATAACACTTTGCCCACCTAACTTTTCACAGGTCTACCTCCGAATCCTCTCCAAACTGGACTGACACCAAGCCATATGATCCACCACCACAGCTCTTCTTCCACAACTGGTGAGTACCTTGATCTCTGATCACAGCTCATCTATCTAAGCTTCCTATTTAGGTGTACAAGTTGGCCGCTTCACTCCAAGCCAGTTACTGGTCCCTCCTGTCCCTCCACATATATCTGCCCCAAGCCCATTCGGCCTCTCACAGAATTTCAGTAGCGGGGTTGTAGTGCCACCACCGACTGTAAATGCAGGTGCTGCTACGTCGTCTATGCAGAAAGAGAGGTTCGATGAGCTTACGGTTGGGCATGGGCAAGTAATTTGTTACAAATATAGGGAGGTTCGTGAGCCGCGCCAGATTTCATTTGTCACCGACATCGCTCGGCTAGACCGTGTCTGGGATGATGAGCAGCCCAATTGGGACCCCGTTGACTGTGGTAGCTTGCTGGAAATCAACGGTGCTCCTATTGCTCTCAAATACTGGAAGCAAGTCTTCAGTCGCAAGAATGACGGTGCCTGGTCATGGTTGAAAAGGCTCTGGGTCGAATGGAAGGTGGGAATTGTCTATATACAGCAGCTCTTTATTTATGATTTTTTCTAGTACGTCGCGGAGCGTTATCGGTCTAGCAGCTCTGAGCAGTTCTGGCAAGAGTTCTCCTCCAGTAACGGCGAACGATTCCACTGGAAAGCCATCACTAATCGACTTCGTGACCTTCGGAGTGAGCGCGATCAGCAGTTGGTTGATCAGGCCAAGGCTGAATACGGTGATAATTTTGCAAAGGTCTTTGTCAATAACCGCGGTAATGTACTTACCGATAAACCTACCATTGCTCGACACTACCGCGTTGAGTTAGCGAAGCGTTCTATATAAACCTCTCATTCTTTGCTATAACCTAGTTTATCAACAACTTTATGTATATGGTTGTTAATTTGTTTATAACAAAATAATCTTCAAGCACAATGGCATGTGCGATTACAAGTAGGACAGGCAGTAGTAGGCGCACGGTTCATGTTGAAAAAATCATCGCGATCAACATGAGGGTTGTCGTTCCATGAAATAAGGTATTTCACGATAGTCAGATGTGTGAATTCCTGACTCCATCCACCCCACTCACAGATCTGACGCAAAGGCCAACGGCGTTCTACAGAAAGCCACTGGCACCCACCACGTCGGAACGAGTGTGTTCCATATGGAACGAAGTCAACACCTATGTCAAGAAGATTGTTCCGAAACATCTCAAGAAATTGTTCTGAGGTCTAGAGCACCGTTGAGTAAAAGCAAAGGGAGAGAACGTTACAAAAGATCATACCATGGGCTCATTTTCCTCAGCAAGGCGATCATTGGCTCGAATCTTGCGAAAAAGGTAACCTTCTTTCAAACCTGATACAAGGATCCATTTGACAAAAGCCCGTACAACACATAAGTGTTGATATTCCTCGGGCAACTCATACCAGATGAAAGGCTTGATGTCTAAAGTAATTGATGTCAGAATACATACTACACAATCCCTGTTGCCACTCACCTCCGAACTGACTAGTTTTCCGAAAGGGGAGACGAAGCGTAAGCTTAGTCTGACCAGTCATAGGATTCTTTTCAAACGTTATGTCTTGCAGCTGAATTTTGAGCATTTCATCGACACGGAGTAACCCACAGAATGCAAAGTTATATCCACAATTCATCATCAAACGTGCACGCGGGCCTAAGTGTCCTTTGGTAGTAGGACTCAGAGAGGGTTGTGGCTGACGGTTGAAATGAAACAGGACTTTGAGTAAACCCTAACATAGGTATTGAGCTTTACCGAAAGAGCTAGAGAGCCGAAGTATACATACAGATGTGGCTGCTCGAGCACTTGTGGGTGTATCACCACTCTGTGTCTACAAATATACATCGTCAGATGCAATTTGTATAAAAGGTTGGTAAAGTTGTAACATACCTTACGACGACGAAGACTAAGCATGTAGGTGGAGACAGTCTCAGAGACTGATGGATTACCTAGGGTCTTTCCAGAAATTTCGCTACGGTGCCAGGCTTGCATGCCTAAGCCATGGACTCTGCCAAATCCAAAGGTCGCAGCAGCACGCATCTTCTGGGCATGTGTATATGTTGACCGTTCCCTTGTGGTCGGAATTGCTTTACCATCCAGGTCAATTATATCACAACTAGGAAATAGTTCAGCGACTTATATATAAAATCATCGAGTTACCTACGAATCCATTATCCAAGCCACCAAATATACTGCTGCTTGAGGATGAGGTTTATTGCAGAAGAATTGGGTTCCTTCAGTTATCATCCGTCGATCGACAAGAAATTTATTGCATTGCTTCATTAACCTTGAGTGAATTTAATCCTCAGTAAGATAAATCTAACATTTGATAGATACATACCGGAGATATTCTTGTGATGTCTTCTCAGATACACCTTTTGAAACTTCTCGAATTGCGTCGCTGAGCCCAGACAGGTCAACCTCAACTTGGTCATGGCTTTCTTCCAGATCGTCCAAGATATCTGCGGGACTCAAGTGCTGTTCTTCAGTGATAACTTTGAGCAACCCAGAGTATGAGCTGTTGGTGGTGATGTCGACGGTCATTGTTGAGGGAGGAACGAATCAAGCCCCTATTACTAACTCTGTTTGTGCAGTGCAGTTGCTGAGCTGGTAAGAGAGGAGCTGCAGGGGTTTAAATGCAATGTCTAACGAGCCTCGAGGAAACCTTGATGCTCACTCAAGGGAATATTTATCTCAAAAAACATGAAGAAAGATGCAGGTATATTTGTATGAACACCAATCACAATACAATTATATGCAATTATGCTGCTTCACCGGCGCCGGACACGTTTAGATGGTCGTAATACTGGAAACTCTTCAAGGTCCGAAAGGTCGCTTACTTCGTCCAGGCCAGCAGCAGTACGGATCGTACCCTTCCAATCGCCCCTGCAAATGTCTGCCCATCGCGTAAACTTCTGCAGGCCTAATTTCCAGCGTGATGCCCGCAATGCTTCCCGTTCAGCACGTTCTTCAGCAGTAGCCTTTTCTAGAAAGGATTTGTCTGGTTGAAACCCGTTGTCGCGCCATCGGAAAAGGCCGCCAGAAGAGTACTGTATGATGGCATAGCGGCTTTCGTGTGCTTGGATAGGGATAGTTGAGTGGGTGATAAGTGCAGAGGGAAAGAGGATGGTGGAGCCAGGAGGAAAGCGAATAATGAGCCCAAGGTCCCAGAGCACAAGGTGTCCACCTTTGTCGGGGTCGAAGGGTCCCATGTTGGTGTCGGCACACCAGCTGGAGGCGCGGTTGTCAGGATCCATGTGAGGTGGAGAAAAGGAGCGGGGTCCCAGGTTGAAAGTAGTCGCAGCAAACGCGGTGTTTCGGAAGTTAGCTCGTAGCTCAGGTTGTTTGCGTTGGATTTCCTCGTTTGTATCCCTATATTCAACATAGTTCTTGTGGCAGAATGTGTTGAAGAGAGCTAGAAAGAGTTCCTTTAGTATTCGAACTACTGATTAAAGGAGAAGCTGCGCACCGTTTTGAAAGCCTGAGATACGCCGAATCGCATCGTTTTGAAGAAGCTCTTGCATGGCGTTCTGATTCGCTGTGCCGGAAACTTTGTAGTTCTGCGGTTTGCGCCGCCCGTTACCATAACCGTACCCAACCGTTCGCGAGGCAAAATCTCCACGCCGACCATGTTTTTGTGCTTCAGTGAAGGTGCTCAAATCACGACAAAGCATAGCAGCAGCAGTAGCATCAGCTTCTACTGCCTGCCATTCCATCCCCTTGGACCCATGAGGAACACCGCCAAGGACAGCAATAATGCGGTCATGGCTGTCGACAAGCGTTATGCAGCTCCTGGGAAATATAGACAAAGTTAGCAGCAGAACACAGCATCGGGGGGAAAATGTACGCACTGTCCATCCCATCGAAGGAGCTTCAAGCCAGACGTCGAGGTCAAGGCTTCAAGATTCTTCCACACCCTTTGAAGCCCACGAGACAGTTTTTTACGAGGATTGGCGTTCCAACCGCTAGACGAGACTGGGAGGCTGGAGGCGTCGAAGTCCTCTAGTTCGACCGGCAAGGCTCCTTTAGCTAGTTCCACAACAAAGGGCTTTACACCCCGGTTCGCAGCGCGTTCAACCGCTTCAGCAGCGCGTTTTGCGCGTGAACGCTTTGTTAGCTTCGCGTACTTCTTGTTTTTGCGGGACATTGAGGGAGGATTGTCGGAAAGGTTGATGGGTGGTACTGATTCTCCGTGGGCTTCTTCATCAGCTTCTTCGTCCTCAAATTCTATCTCCCCGTCATCTAAGGATTCTCCGGCATCTTCAGCAGCCATACGTGCTTTGTGGTCGGCCTCGAGAGCGGAAGATAGGTCAAAGGAAGGGAATTTAATGCGAGTGGTGGGGACAGCGTTGTCTGTGAGCAGAAGCGAGTTGAAACCGTGTCAATTGAGAACAGCAAGGGGAGGGGAGTTTTGTTTGAAACAACGGCACGTTAGAACGCAAACCAGAACGAATTTACAGCCAACAGAGCCTTGCCTAGATGATGGGCTGGGCGTCTGTTGGCTGGAGAAATTCGGACTGGGGGGGGGGGAGAATAGAAAGATGTAATTATGAGAGAAGACACTCACCTAAATCGGAGCCCATTTTGTGAGAAAGTTGGTGGTGGTGGGGGGAGCAGGAAGATCAAGATGAGGGAAACACAATCAACAGAGACGCGTGACGGCGGATTCTGTTTAAGCGCGCGCTCTGTCGTGGCTGTGATTTCTGTTCAAGCGCGCGCTCCAGTTCTTTCGCTTCCGTTTGCAGCTATAAATCTATGTTTCTCCCAGCTACCCCAATGCCACCCTCTGCCTGAAAGCTCATGCACAGAATCATGTTGGTAACCTCAGGCTCTATCAAATTTATATTCCTCGCTCATTTCCATCCTACTTATAGCTACCTTTCCGGGATTCTTTTACACCAACTCATCAAACAGCACATGTGCTCTGTTCGATCTCATGCTCACCAGGCTCTTGCATCTCACGCTTGGATCAGGTCGGAATCTTGTAACACTATCCCTCCTGATTCTATCTCTGTCGTCAGCCAAATCTCCCTCTTCAACCTGCTCTGTTTCTCCTTTTTCTTCTGCGAATTCTTCACCAATATCCGCTCTTTCTTGCGATTCGGAGTCGTCCAAACAACGTGCACGAACGCCACAGCCGCGTAGAGACACCCAAGCTCACGACAAGAACGGGCTCCCTTATCAGTGCGTAGACTCTTTCTCGTTGCTTTATCTCAACCTGATGGGTCGTCAGATCAATTAGAAAAATCTCTATGTTCAATTTGGCAAACTTAGGACATCCCTCCAGCTTTCCTTACCACTTTCTGTGCCGCCGTTCCCGCGACAACTCCACCAGTCAACTGCGGAGAAAAACTGTCAAACTCAACCCCCATCCCCATCTCTTTTGCCACAAAAATTCATACCAAACGCGGCTCACTTCTTGGTACCAGCAACTCTGTGCCCATGAAGGGTTTTGTCCACGAAGTTCTTCGGTGCCCGACAGCTTCTGGGAGCATCTTTCGGACGGCGCTTTGTCTTTGGGAAGGTGTTCATCGAGCCCCGAGTGTTGGAAATCATTCAATTGGAATAGACCCCCTTCTATCCGGTGGAAACGGGGAAGATGCTGCCTCCACTCTCAAGAGCAAATGACCATTCTTGGCGCTCGCGCCTCTACCTCATCTTCCTTCACCGCCGTTACGCCCACGCTGCGCTTTTTAGCGCCGCTTATCCTTGTGTCGGAGGTTTACGCAAGACAAGCATTGCTCCCATATTGCAGAACGTCTCACGCCCTTCCATCTCCCGCCCTACGCCTCCCCCTTCCTCTTCATTCCCGCCTACCTTGAACCTATTTGCTACCTGCTCCCTTATTTACGTCCGCCACCCCTTTCTTTAGTTATCTCTCAGTATATACATAGTCTCCATGTCCCTCTGCGTCCCCTCAGCGAAACGGGATCCCGCCATGTACTTATGCTTATGTAGTCAATGCAATACTTGGCCGGCCCGGTCTTTCACAACCCTTTATGAATAGGAGTAGTGTACCGACGTTACTATAACCCATCATAAGCATGGGTGTCCAAAATCTTTGGCCTGTAAGTGACCACATTATTGCTAGTTATTTTACTCATTATATGTCCTATATAGCTGGTGGATGAAACTGGATTTACTTGCAAGCTCAGAAACTTCGTCACAGAGCATGGATTCATTAGAGACCACCACCGTTCCCGTACAGTTGTTATCGGAGTTGATATTAGGTATGTCTTCAACAAAGAATTGCCGAATATCTCACCATCATGCCCTCGACCTAGTTCATTTTTGGATGGTTTCCGTGCTTCGGATAGGATCACCCACACTAGTCACCGCCTTCATACATCAGACTCGACCCTCACACAATTTTTCAAGTTATTGTGTGGTTTATCGAAGGCCGGCGCACACTGCATCTTTGTTTATGATGGTGATGGGCGTCCGGTCATTAAACGAGGGATTCGAGTTGTTTTGCGCGAATCAGACCACTACAAGCGTTCACGAAAGTTAATAAAGTATTTTGGCTACTACAGTCATACAGTAAGTGCTTCTATCTAGTCTTTGGGAAACTTACCTTACAATTACAGGCCCCAGGCGAAGCGGAAGCAGAGCTTTCGGACATGTATAAACAGGGTATCATTGATATTGTACTCTCCAAAGACAGCGATGTTTTCCCCCTTGGGGTTGGATCTATAATGAAACTCATTGTCCCGTAAACAGCTCCTTTGCACTCAATTATATATACAGCTGACATTCAAATAGAAAGGAGCCAAGGAATCTTTGGGGAGATTTAGATGTCCGTGTTTACCACGCCCAATCCACAGGCTACTCTCAGGGAGGTTTTATTCTGATTGCTTTATTGCTTCGGAATGATTTTGCTAGCGGCGTTAATGGCATAGGCCACCATACTGCTCGTGGTCTTGCTCAGAGTGGATTTGGGGACGATCTTCTCAATGCCTATCGGTTGTTCTCAAACATGCCGCAACAGCTCTCTGAAGCATTCCACAAACTGAATCACGATATGACGTATGAAATTCGGCATAACAAACGAGGTAAAATGGGCTCATGTAGTCCTTTTCGGGCGGATATCCTTCGGGACTCTCAGTTTCCTACCCTCAAAGACATCCACGTCATAAATGCGTTTTTAAAACCATTGACAAGCTCTTCACCTGGGTTTGATCCTGTTCCGGTCTCTCTAAGCCTACCTACCCTCCCTGATATCACTGGAATCTCCGAATTTTGTGCAGAACACTTTGCCTGGTCTCCGACACTCGCCCTGAAGCATTTTCACATCCATCTCTGGCCCGGTATCGTGATCCGAATGCTTTCCTCTGTACGTACATTTGATCTGTCTTCGCATACAACGCTAACAAGTTTTTCTCAGAAATATATAGCTTATAACGTACAGAAGGCCGAATTTCTCGTTCCCCGCTTGCAGAGTCAACCTGAGACAAACAGCATGGGGAATTACTATGTACCTACTCTATCAACTACTGTGACGAACCACAAGGCGTTGGATCTCCAAGCAAAGGACGTCAATGAGAGCATTTCCATTACTTTCGATACCGCCTTCTTTGTTCGACTTACAGGTCTCTCCCCCTCAACCATTCAATCCACTCGCAGAGTTGATGTTCCGGTTCCCATGCTTGCAGTGGCTACAAATCAAACAGACAAGGTTGATCATTTGGATGAATTACTCGGTTAGTCCTTCTTTTTTGTCCTTCGATGTGCCATTCACCCCTGAATTTTGCAGGCCCACATCCAAATTCTGAGATATCTGTCCGGATTCAACGCCGTAATGATCTGGGTTTGAACAACGGAGCATCGAGTGAGTACTGGAATCTCTCATCTCCTCCAAACAACCAACTATTTTGCGTAGGTAGCTCGCAATCGCAGGTGTCCGTCAACACACTCAAACGGAAGGATACCCCAGCCTCTGTAGATAGGAGTAGCAAGTATAGTCAGTCCAGCGTTAAATATCTAGGTTACATCGAGCTTACTGATAGTGAAGATGAGCATGTATAGAAATTGCACTTTTATTATTCATTAGCTTTGTAAAATATAATATGAAGTTATCTATCATTTGTGCAAGGCATGCTCTATAAGTAGAGATTGAGTTAGATGGGCAGAAGGTACAAAAATAATCATCTGGTTTGCGTAATGGTACATAGTCTGATATCTCCGTTGACATTGTCTTTTTTACCTGCCCACTAAACTTCGCAACTTTAATGGCAGGGAGAGAAAGCTGAAAAGACAAGATTTCTGGATAACAAGACGATGGTACAGAGATTGGACAGACGATGCACATTACATTGCTTGATATACTTGTTCCGACCTATTTAGTTACAGATCGCCATGTTTCGATGTGAATTAAGTTGCAACCTCCGAAGTTTACATGTAGGCCAACGACTCGGTTGATAGCCAACATCTAAGCAGCAGCGCCCGAAGCTACTGTCATTCACAGCATATACAATTTCGACGTGTTCACTATTACATACGTGCAGTAACTACGTCCCCTCATCATCCCAGCCTCACCCCCTCACAGGTCTCCTCACAGGTTTCCTCACAGGCATACTCACACATCCTCTAAATATCCACAATCTCACTTCATCCAATTCTTCATTGTCCTCTACATAACCCCTCAGATACAATTCCCTTCAGCAAAGATCATGGATTCTCGACTGTGAGTTCTCAACTACTTTGGAGCTCTTTTCACAAGAGTTTGCTGGCACTCTCCGTCCTCTCTCCGAACTAATTTTCATGCACCTTTGTCTCCTGCATGGTGCCCTCTGTTTGCTTTTTTCTGCCAAATACATACAATGAGCTCGAGTTTGACTAAAGGGTTTTGCTCCCGCCGCCGTCGATTGCCCGCTCGTTGGCCGGAGCGCGTGGATCCGTCGGGTGATGCAGTGCAGTCCCTAAAGGGGACCTGTCATTACGCATCAGGTCACATCTCGTTATGATCCGTTACGAGATGTGACCCGCATGGTCTTTTCCGTTGGTCTCAATTGCACTTCTATCACGAGCGGAGTTCCGCCCTGGAGTGATCACCAATGTCGGACGGTATAATTTCGCGTTCCGCCGGTGCGTTCTGCGTTCCGACGGATTTGCGTTCAAGTTCGTTGCGTTCAATTAAGTGCGTTCACGTTCAATATAGCTGCGTTCACGAGGAATATTTATCATATCTACTAAACTATTCCCAAATATTTAATCTATTTTTCTGGAAAGTACATCCATATTATTGCAGTCAAATTTGAGCCCAAAAACATGATCTTGAGATGAATTCTCCACCAAATCATTCAAAAATTAGTGCAGTATAGAGTGATAGAGGGGCTCTAGTGTACCTCATAGTGCTTCCCATAGGTAAGATTGTAAGATTGCTAGTTAGCACAGTCTTAGACACTTCTCTCTTGTTCCACTTCTTATTTTCCAACCAATGTCCAGAGGCCATTAACTATCCAATGATTAAAAAACCATCACATACATGTAAGAGTATACTATATTGTGTTAGTACTTTAGTTTGTTGCAATATACTATGTAGCTCACCTCAGTTGTCTGTAAAGCAACTGAGGGACTTGGAAACATGCCATCAGTGTGATCTATATCTAACTGTACAGTATTCACTAATAATGCTGTCTCTATGTTTGTACATATCTACTTAACCTGTATGTACCATTCCCCATGTACAAAGTATACCTCAACAATACATACCTTCTCAAAACATGGGGTTAGTACATTGTGTTGGAATATACATACAAAATAGTCTTTTCTCTTAACTATACTACACAAACATGGACCAAGTACTGTTGAAGCAAGACTAATGCCACTTTGTGTGATCTAAGTTGAACTGTATAGTTATTAAGTAATACTGTGTTAAGATCATGTACACCGTGTAACCGTGCCAGGGCCACAAGGTATCTAAGGGCAGAAGGTCGAATGGGACAGTGGTGAAGTTATTAACAACACCGCCGTTACGCCATCAGTCCCCGGAGATCGAGAGTATAGAAGGGAGGAGCCAGTAGCAGCCAAGTCGGAGCGGCATATCGCCGGTGACGAGGAGCGAACCAAAGAACGTATAAGTTCTAAGGTAGTAGTAGAGAGTGCTTCAAGGCGATGAGCCTAAAGACTTAGAGGAGAACTAAGTTGAGGAGGGGATCTAAGTTGATAATTAAACTGAGGAACTACAGTAGCGTACAGGCAGTATTTATATCTACAGATCGGTGCATCAGTGCGGAGCGCTAGACTAACTACTAGGAGCTATACGTGTAGTACCTGCAGGGTAAAGTAAAAGACAATAAGGAGAGACTAGAATGAAATGGTATGTGTAGCGAGAAAGAACAATAAGAGTGAGATTACAATAAACAGTTGATCTTTGGAATACCGAGCGGCGGAATGGAGACCCGAGGCATGGGCTTGACATACTGCCATCTCTTGAATAGGCATTTCAAAGCAGTATATCTGACATATGGAGTACTCCCTAACACCCCCCACTACTCTGTACAATCCAGTCTCAGTAGCAATACCAAGTTGGAGTGAGAAGTACCATTGAGAGCTTTCATAAAAATATCTGCTACATTCTCCCCTGACCTGATCCACTGTATCCGAACCTCCCCACTTGCTACCTTTTCCCATATGTAGTGGTGTCGAATCTTGATGTGTTTCACTAGTACATGGTGTTTCCAGTTCTCAGATAGGCTGTAAGACCTGGGTCAGAATTTGGCATTTCATGGTCTTTTACCATACTCATTGCTTTGACCTCGTCGGTCAATGCAACTGTCATGAAGTCTCATGATGCACCCTTTGATGCGCCATCAGCGGTGTGTTTCCATCAATCTCTTTTCACATGTTTATTGTACTTTATTACACGATTATCCCACTAGTTCCATTTGTTTCCATACGCTTCCATACAACTCATCCTTATTCATCGATTAGTTCATTATGATTCATTATTGACTCATTATTACTTGTATATATTGATTCCTCATTCTTGTTCTATATCACAATCGCTTACTCATTAGACAAGAGTAGTATATAAAGGACAGCAGACAGATCCTAGTTCCCCATCTCGACCTCTTGGTCATTGGGCAACTAGGCAAGTACTTGTATCCTTTTAGATACTACCTATCTAACTTGGTCATTGGGCAACTAGATTCCCTTTTGATTACTGGTGTGATTGGCCTCTGATGCTATCCCACTCTTGTTCGAGATCATTATTTCTTTCATATGTGCTTTGTGCTTGTTTCTGTGCCTCTTCGCTCTGCCACTATTGCTCCTTGGCATATTCAGACTTCCCACCTCCCGCTTCCTGCCTTGTCGCGACAGCGACATTTTGTAGTCTATATAAACTTGTACTTATCACAGAGCCACCTCAGACGATTGCCTTCACCTTCGTGCATCTCTGAGGTGAACTACTGATACTTTAGACAGTGTTATGAGTAGGTACTATACAGTTGTAGTTAGATCATGCCAGCAGTGTCTTCAAGTCCCTCAGTTTCTTTACAGCCAACTGAGGTGAGCTAGATATAATAAAACTCACTGTGAGCTCATAGTACTAACATAGCATAGACCCCCACTTAGAAGGTACCTACAACAGGGTTGCTTCACAGCCAATTGAGACTCTCACTTAACTTAACATATGCAGATGCACACCAATCCATGGTGGTGATGCTGTACTCTATAACAGGACTCATAAATCATGCATAAAAATAGATATTAA